GTACTATAAATCACAATAATTAACAACTTAAAAATATGTTTAAAAACATATTAAATTTGGTTAATTCTCCAAATTTCACATGTGCCACATAAACTGCGACAGAGCAACATATATTATTTAAAAATTACATTAATTAATAAAATTAAAAATCACAATAATTAATAAAATTAAAAATCACAATATTTTAAATTAACAAATTAAAATATTTTAAAAACATACTCCCTCTGTCACAATTTATGTAGCACTTTTCCATTTTTGAGAGTCAAACAATTTAAGTTTAATCGGAAATTTGCGTGTGGAATCTTCAATTTTTTAAAATGAAATTTATATATTTGTAAACTACGTAAAAAGTACTATAAGTCACAATAATTAAAAGATATATAAAAAAATTCACAATCAAAGATAATCTTGTTTGAATCTCGAAATCCGAAAAGTGTCACATAAATTGATACGGATGGAGTATTACAAATTTGATTGACTCTCAAAGTTTCTCATGTGCTACATAAATTAAGACAAAGTGAGTAACATATATTATTTGAAATTTATGTTAATAATATTATAAATCACAATAATTAACAACTTAAAATATTTAAAAATTTGATTAACTCTTTAAATTCATGTCACATAAATTAAAATAAATAAAACAATATATATTGGGCTCATGCTTACACTTATTTCTAGTACTACAAAATAAACGAGAATGTAAAATCAAAGAACTAGATCACTATAAATGCAATGAATTAAGCTACAAATAAAAAATGTAAATAATTAATATTCACCTTATATTTTATATTATTTTTAAAAGTACTGTACACACATGGAGACACACACATATAAAACAAAGCATCTAACACATGCTATATATTTTTTAGAATAATGATAAAAAATCAACAAAAGTTTTTTTTAATATAGAAAAAAAGAAGGGAAAAGGTAATAAAGAGATGAAAACAAAATTAAATTAAGTTTTTATAAAGAAAGATTCTAAATTCCAGATGTGAAACAGTAATTGCATTGCTGGTCCTACTTTAGAATTTCCAGAACAGCAAAGAGAAAATGGTCAATATATAAATTATAATAGTGAGGACTTTGTTGTTTAGTTTTTCCAGACGAAACTAAAATTTTGAGTTTATATATATCAATTTTTTAAAAACACGGCTCCTAATTAAATTTTGGATAAATTATTTCTATATATTAAGAGAATTCTTATATACATAGGATTTGAAGTAAATTACTATTTTTACCGAATTTATACATAGATTATTTTTTTTGTTTAGCAACAGTTTTATAAGGATGATGCTTTCCTTGTATAATAATAAAGGTGAATATAAAAACGATAATGTGACCCTCTCTAATAGTTTCAATCCAATTTATCTTTTCTTTGCCTTTTTTCTAATTTTAAAATACAAAAAAATTCACCTAAAAATTAAAAAATCATTAAAAATAATCATATTTATTTATATTTTCATCAATAGCCATATTTAATTTATTTTATCATTAAAGCTATTATTCGCTTTTCCTATAATATTTCTCAAATTCTCATCAATTATTACAATTTTTTCCATTTGATCTAAAAAGAATTCCAACAAACTATTCACGATAGTTAAATTTTATGATTTTTGTTTATTTATCTTATAGTTTTTTCCTTTCTTTGCTCTTTTTTTACTTTTCTTTTATTTATTCAATTCAAAAAAATTATATCTTTGTATAATATAAATGCATTTCTTTTATCTACTTTATTTGTGTTTTTTTATTTTTATTTTATTTTTTAAGTTTAAACTCCATAACGTAAATCTATTAAACTTCATTTTTTTATAATATCATTAATTCTATGACTTTTAAGTTTTCATATTCATAACCTCCAACTACTAAATTATAAAAATTTTAAGATATTTTATGATATCTCTCTATTTTTAATGACAAAATAAATTCACTAAGTTTTTTATTTCATGAAATTTCAACTCAAGTATTATTTTTTATATTTCATTGTTCTTTGTAGTATTATTATATTATCAAATTCATGCTTTAACTTGACACGATGAAAAAGACTTTTGAATGTTGATTAGTTTGTCAAAGAGGGTGTAAGACAAGAGGTTAAAAAAGTGGGCATTGATTTTGTATTCATATTTTTATCTATTGTTTTATGATGAAGTTCCAAGGAAGATGTGTGTGTCTTTATTCTCAATGTAACTTCTTTAGTTTGAATTCTTATAACTTTTTATTATTGCAATATGTATTTTTGCTTAGATGCAAATTAGTTATTGCAACTTTGTGTGTAATAATACTAACTACTAACAAAGGTTTAAAAAAATTATTGCACAGAGAACTATTTATATTTTTTCTTTAAAGATTCCTCAATTTTGTTTATATAAACTCATTATTTTTTATTTCATGAAACCCCTTACTTGAGATTATCTTTTTTATTTCATATTTGAAATAGTGTTTTCCTTAATTTTTCTTAAAGTCTTTCTCATATAACTACTAAACATAAGTTAAAGAGCAAAAAGGAACCTATACATTTCTTATTTCAAGTTAAATAACAAACATTGAAGAAGAGTATTAACTACTACAAAACTACACTACACCATATTTTTACTTCAATTTGCTGGATTTTCATTTCATGAAAAGTTTT